ATATGTTAAAAATTCCTTAGGAACGGTGAACGTTCATTTTCGTTTGATCGAAGTGGGTTCGCATTGCAGGTTTGATTCTAACCAACCAACCAACCAACCAACCAACCAACCAACCGATCGATCTATCACCGTAAGGTTGCACGTGATTCCCGCTAAAACACCCATCCCCAACGATCTCTTGGCACGTGAGCCAAAGTAAACGTTCTATTCAGAAGAAAGATAAGAAATCTTTTATGGTGTGCCGCGTGCGTAAGGGCAACGGGTCGTTGCCTCCTCTTTTAACTTTTCTCTTCTAACACTTTAAAAGAACGTTTTCATAATAAGTTAAATCTCTTATTTGCGGTTACCTTTTCCTTTTCTCTCATCATATGTATATCTATATTTAACTATCTATGTGTATATTCAATTATGTATGTGTACGATACAAACGTTATATATATATATATGATTATATTTTATATGTATGGTTATATGTATGAGAAAATATACGTGTATCTAACTATGTGTCTGTGTGTGTGTCCGACTATGTTTTATATATATGTGACTATGTTTACCATACATATGTATGGCTAGGTTGTGTACGTGTATGTGTATGAGAGACTATACGTGTATCTAACTATACATACGTATGTGTGATAATGTTATACGTGATTATGTTTTTATATGTATGATTAAGTTGTATACATGTACGTGTATGTTTCTTTCTATCTTCTTCATTTACAAAACATATCTCCCTCTTTTCTTTTCTCGTTCATCTTGTTCTTCTTGTTCTCTTCTTCGACTGGCCCAAGTCTTCCAAGCCAACCTGGGAAATCACTTTTACTTTCCACGATCACCATCGTCATCGTACAGCTGCATTCACCTGCGTTCACCTTTTACACGCGTTAGTTCAACGTCGTGTCCTTCGTAACAACGAAGGACATTTCCCGTTTTTCCCCCTGATTTAATATGAAATTGTTAACAAAAAAAAAATGTAGAAACTATTCAATTGTTTTGATATGGATTGATTTCACTCACACACACACACACACACACAATCGAGATGATCGTAATTTAAATAAATGATATTTCGTTTGATTATCTTTTTGAGTTTGTTTTATTATTTTTATTATTTTTTATTTATTAATTAATATAGGTATGGTAATTAAGTTAATTTTGATAATCCTACAATGTTAGTTGTGTCCTAATTTTGGATGTATTAGAATAATGATCAAATTATATGGGACACTGTGGTTAATCTAATTTTTGTATACCTTAAAGGTTCTCTAAGTTTCTAATTATCTTGACTTAATTCATTCAGAAATATATCCACTGTATATCCTAAAAAAATTTGTGAAATTCGGTTTTGTTTATAATCCTTGATTGGAATTATAATTTTATGATTTTTTTTTTACGGAGTGATGATCACGAAATCATGTGACTTTTTTATCGGGTTTAACTAATTGTAAGTTTTTGTCATTTCTAGGATTCTTAAACCCTATTGTGTAAAACATACATTCTATAGATAACTTTATTAATATTTAATCAATGAAAAATAAAAATGATATCCAAAGTACGCTTAAAGATATACGACACTGTTCGAATATCAGGTAGATATGCAGACCTGCTTATTTTAATGTTAAAAAAAAACTTCTCCCCAATGGACGAATTCCATTCCTACGTTCATAGGCGTCGAATTATAAAAAAAAAGAAACCAAATCCATTTGAAAAAAAACAATCGGACAAATTCGTGCGAAACAATTTTACTTATTATTTATACGTTTCTTAAAAATCTTGTTTAAATAAATAAACGAACGAATGTATTCATTACTTTGAATATGAACAAAATTGAATTGAAATGTTTTCAATTCGAAGAATTTTGAAACATTGATCGAGTATAGTCTCGTCGCCAATGCATTTAGGTTCGATCTATCCAAGTGATATCAAATTCATGTTGAATAAAACGTTTCTTTAATTTCACAGTCAAATCATTTCGAAAGATTATCTTACCCGGACGATTCGGAAAACGCATTTGATTCTACGTCGTCGTAGAAGTTGGATCGCGTTCGTATTTTTTCTTTTTTGCTTCTACTTCTTCTTTTCCTTCTTTTGAGAAAGAGAGAAAGAGTAAGAAATAAGACAAAGAAGAACCGGATTGAAAAGATTTAGTATCCGACTAGTAAGTGCGTAAAATTCTTTTCTTTTTTTCGGTTTTGTGTGCTTATACTAAATATATTAAATTTCATGTTCTCATTTATTTATAGAAAGATTGTTCGAACGTGTCTAAAATAAAAGAAAATACAATTGTGTGATAAGTATTTTCTTCTGGTTTTTTGTTTTGTTTTGTTTAAAATTCCCGCGCATCTCGTTAAGTTTCACAAAGTTTCGGTTTCGCGAGCGCTGAAGTCGTTCACCGTTCAGAAGTTTAATGTCCGCCATCGTAAACGGGTTTTTATCTTGGGTGAGTTTTAGAGAATAAATATTTCTCATATATTATACATTTTACTATATATATATATATATAAATATTGTTTTAATTTCGATGAAAATAATTTGATTAAAGTAATTATCACATTTGTTAGCTAAGTAAACAGAAATCAATCATCAGAATTGTGATTAATTTTATCAGTATATGAGGCGTGCCATTACGCATCATGGATGCTGGGATTTTTCGGTATCTTATACCAGAAACTATACATTTTAATATAGAAACGATTCAACAATATTATTTCTAAACGATACCACTAATGACTTTTGCTAATTTCATCGTTTTTTTTTATCTTCTCTTCTGATTTCGTAGAATGTTAATCGAATAAATAAATGACAATTAATTAATTAAAATCTAACTCACAAAATTAAATTATATTTGATGATAAAGGTTCATAGGGAACTTGGGCATGAAAAGAAGTAGAACTTAATTTAATTAAGTTGGGACTTTATTGGGACTTCTTCAGCAACTTAATCATTTTTTTGTTTTGTTGAGGCTTTTGAATAATAACGATCAAACTAACGAAGTTTAGATGTATTGTGTGTTGGAATATTATAAAGATAAATGTATGTCGAAATAAATAAAAAAGACGCTGAGCTTTAATGATTAAGTTGCTGAAGAAGTGTCCCAATAAAGGGACGAAACGTCCAACTTAATTAAATTAAGTTCTATTTCTTTTCATGTCCAAGTTACCTATGAACCTTTATCATCAAAAATTATAATTTTGGACGAGAGAAAATACTAAATTAAATTATATTATTTTTTCTTTTATCCGTCGCGAATAAAATTCTAAAAGAATAAGGAAGGCATATAAAAATGAAAATATTACAAATCGGTGATTGGTATTGATCAAATGAAATAAATGAAGCGTAACGACGCATTAAAACTTAGTAAGTTCATTCCCCGTAAGGAAATAAAAATAATAATGGTTGTTTCGAATTAGCGACGACGTATTTATTTGCACGTGTTGTAGCACGTGTCGGCCTATATCGGATAACCACAGCAGCAGCAACAGCAACGTATCGTTTCTCTTCGTCCTCTTCGTTCATTGCACGTGAGCGAATCTTGATAATCCGATAAGTTCATATACAAGTTGCTCATTCGTTCGTCGGAGAAAGGTAATTATCATTCGTATCTATCGTTAACGATTTCTGGGATAGATGTTGCGATTACCATTAACCATCGACATCCTGTTCTTACGTAATTTGTTTTTTTTTCTTTTCTTTTCTTTTTTTTATCTTCTTTTTAACATACCTCTTCATCTTCGTATATTCCGCCGCGTAAAGTGCAATGACACTTAAGAATGCATCTTTCTATGAAACAAACACGTGAGATTTGTTCGTATTATTCGCAGAAAATCATCATTACCACCATCACCACCATCACTACTTTGAGATGTCGATATTTATGATCATTTTAACATTATTACTATTGATCATATTTTATTATACCAATCGTAAGAAACATCGATTACCACCGGGACCATTAGGTCTACCAATAGTAGGTTATTTGCCATGGTTGAATCCAAAAGCTCCCCATCAAACGCTCACCCAACTGACCAGAAAATATGGGCCAATTTGCGGATTGAAAATGGGATCCGTTTATACGGTTTTATTATCGGATCCTCGATTGATACGACAGGTACTTGCTAAGGGTACCTTTTCTGGAAGAGCACCATTATATTTGACTCATGGAATAATGCGTGGTTATGGTAAGTTATTATTTATATTCATTAATCCTTTTAATCAGTATCTAATCAATATTTAATCAATTAATATTATAACAATAGTTCATAGAATTATATTATGCCTAATCCTAATAATAAGTCAATGAACTTAAATAAAACATTTAAGTTTAAATTTGACGAAGAAATATTTAACCAAAAGAAAAACAAAATGAGCAAATTTAACAATGATTATTA